GGACTAGACCAGGACCCAGACACCAGAGACTACTGGACTAGACCAGGATCCTGACACCAGAGACTACTGGACTAGACCAGGACCCTGACACCAGAGACTACTGGACTAGACCAGGACCCAGACACCAGAGACTACTGGACTGAAGCAGGACCCAGACACAAGAGACTACTGGACTAGACCAGGACCCAGACACAAGAGACTACTGGACTAGACCAGGACCCAGACACCAGAGACTACTGGACTAAACCAGGACCCAGACACCAGAGACTACTGGACTGAACCAGGACCCAGACACCAGAGACTACTGGACTGAAGCAGGACCCAGACACTAGAGACTACTGGACTAGACCAGGACCCAGACACCAGAGACTACCGGACTAGACTAGGACCCAGACACCAGAGACTACTGGACTAAACCAGGACCTATACACTAGATACTATTGGACTGAACCAGGACCCAGACACCAGAGACTTCTGGACCAGACCAGGACCCCAGACACTAGAGACTACTGGACTAGACCAGGACCCAGACACCAGAGACTACTGGACTGAACCAGGACCCAGACACCAGAGACTACTGGACTAGACCAGGACCCAGACACCAGAGACTACTGGACTGAACTAGGACTCAGACACCAGAGACTACTGGACCAGACCAGGACCCAGACACCAGAGACTACTGGACTAAAGCAGGACCCAGAGACTACTGGACTACTGGACCCAGACACCAGAGACTACTGGACTGAACCAGGACCCAGACACCAGAGACTACTGGACCAGACCAGGACCCAGACACCAGAGACTACCGGACCACATTGGGAGTGACACAGTAAGACATACTTTTAGCAGTAAATATGTTATCTTTGGATTTATTGGTATTGGTTTTATGTTTAGAGCGAGACAAATATTTCATAGGCTGATTGTAATTTCAAGCATGTTCAGTTTTCAGTGGAAGCAAACATTTAAAACCATCAAACCTCTGGGTTATGTTCTTATTTATTTTGAACAGCGTCATGCTGATGGAGATGTTTAGTCGATTACTTATATATTAATTGATTAATGCCGTTAAAAAAGGTCAGTAATCTTTTGAGGGAAATATATTCATTTCCCAGGTTGAATAAAGGAAGACGTGCATCAGCTTTACAAACAGTCTGTGAGGAAGTCAGTGGCTCCATTCATTCCCCAGGAATAACTCAAATATTACTCCGAGCACAGGGATACAGTCTCAAAACATTCCCTGGTGTCTGAGCAGACAGTTTGAAGGCCCACTCATTTATCTGGAAGACTCCTTATTGCTTCACGTTGTCTCCGTTCATCCAGAACACTGCTGGTGTCATTAACAGTTTGTGCTGTCGATCCAGGAGTCAGCTCCTGATTGGTCAACCTCCTCATCCCGCCTCCTTTTGCGTCAGTCCTCCTGCAAAATGATCCTCAGCTTCTCCCTGTTGGAGTAACTCCTGTGTGACGTCACCTCACCTGACCTCTGTGATGTCACTTGTCCTCTGCATCAGTCAGTTTGCTATGGCCAGTCGGCAGGCTCCCCCTCCTGCAGGGGGGCGCTGGAGTGGACGAGGAAAAGGAGAGGAGTTGAGACAGGGAGGAGGTCGGAAAGGAGGAGGGGGTGAGTGAGCAGGAGGAGTGGATCAGCAGCGCTTCCCGGTGGAGACTGGAGGAGCTGCAGGAACCTTGGAAGGCTCTTGAGGAGCAGAGAGGAGGAGGTTGACATCCAGGCTCCTCCTCCCCCTGCTGCCTTTGGTTTCCCTCCTCCCTCCTTCGCTCCTCCCTCGCTGCAGTGGACCAGCCCCCTGCCCGGGCTGAGTGCCTCCTGGGAGGCGCTGTGGAGCGAGGGCGGCGCAGTGGTAAGCTGAATGAGCTGAGCACCTCCTTCTGTGGGACGTTCCCAGCAGAGGGAGGGGTGGGGGGGGCTGCAGCTGGGGGGGGGTCTGTGGCAGCTCGAGGAGGGGGGGTGGAGAGCGTTCTCAGAAATAGTGAACACTGCCTCGCCTCCTCCCTCTCCTCCGCCTCCCTCCGTGTGGTTCAGCAGGGAGGCGGGGTACGCCCTGGGTTTAGCCTCCAGGCTCCTTGATTGGACGTAGTTAACAAGGCCGTTGAGGGGATTGGAGGAGGAGGAGGAGGTGTGCTTGCGGAGGCCGTGGAGGTCAATGACCGTGGAGTAGATGTCCCGCAGGTTGATGACTTTCGTCTTTTTGTCGCGGTTTTCGTGCAGCGCGGCGTTCGCACAGATGAAAAGGAAGATCCCGATGCCCATGATGAGAGGTCCAAAAACTTTCAGCCTATCAGAGTACACGTACCTGTGGAGACATTTAATACAAAGTCCATCAGAGCAGGTGTGTGTGTGTGTGTGTGTGCGCATATATAACTCTTTGTTTACCTGTGGAGGAAATCCTCCAGAAAGCCTCCTGGAAGACGTCCAATTGTCCCGTTCATGGTTTCCGTTCGGTTGAAACTATCATCTCCTCTTTCTCCTCCTCCGTCTCCTTCCTCTCCTTGGAGTCTCATGGCCTCCTCTCCTCCCTGGAAGCAGTAAGAAAAACAAAAGACCTCGTTCAGGGTCTGGTGAGAGGAAGGCGGTTTCCGGATGAGGAGACAGTGGATCTCACCTGAGCCTCGGCAGCTGTGGACCTGCTGGAGGACAACGAGGCCATGGCTGTGGCCTCCTGCAGCCGAGCGCTGAAGAAGAGTCCGTCTCTGGGCCAGTAGCCCAGGACCGCCATGACCACGCCCGCCAGCAGGACCAGGACGCCCAGCGCCGCCACCAGGCCCGGGACCGAAAACAGTTTCAGCTTCCCCTTCACCACCACCACTTCGTTTCTCCTGGTGGGGCAGGAAGTGACATCATAGTGTATACGCCGCTGAAACCCAGACTTAATGTGTGTGTGTTACCTCTTGTTCTTGTTTTTCCTCTTGTGTGTGTTTGCTTTGTGTGGTTTCGATCTCAGTGAGTCCTGTCGGCGTGCGTTGATCCGCAGGAGGCCGCCAGTTGCAATCATCACCACCCACCAATCAGACGGTAGCTAAGCAGGCTAAGCCCCGCCCACTGCCACCTCACCTGGACTCAGTCACCAACTTCCTGTAAGACAGACGGGTAGAGGAAAAAGCTGGACCCTGCACCTCGAGTCACCAGTCCGTCAAGCTCCTGAAGTTTGCGGATGACACCACCCTCATTGGACTGATCTCTGGTGGGGACGAGTCCGCCTACAGGTGGAGTCTGACCATCTGGTGTCGTGGTGCAGCCAGAACAACCTGGAGCTCAACGCTCTGAGGACAGTGGAGATGGTTGTGGATTTCAGGAGGAACAGAGCCCCACCCTCCCCCATCACCCTGTGTGAATCCCCCGTCACTATTGTGGATTCCTTCCGTTTCCTGGGCTCCGTCATCACCCAGGACCTCAAGTGGGAGCTGAACATCAGCTCCATCACCAAGAAGGCTCAGCAGAGGTTGTTCTTCCTGAGGCAGCTGAAGAAATTCAACCTGCCAAAGACGATGATGGTCCACTTCTACACGGCCATCATGGAGTCCATCCTCTGCTCCTCCATCACCGTCTGGTACGCTGCAGCCACAGCCAAGGACAAGGGCAGGCTGCAGCGTGTCCTCCGCTCTGCAGAGAGGCTGATCGGCTGCAATCTGCCGTCCCTGCAGGACTTGTTCGCTTCCAGGTCTCTGAAGCAGCTAAAAAGATGGTGGCCGACCCCTCTCACCCCGGACAAAACCTGTTTGTGCCCCTTCCATCTGGCAGGAGGCTGAGGTCCATCAGGACCAAGACCCCATCAACAGAGCCGGTCCCCCACTGACTGACTCTGACATCCCACCGGTCACTCCCTTCACTCCACATGCACCTGTCACTTTCGTATACACACAACACAGATGTGTAGAGTATGACTTTCTGTTCGCTGGTGCACTTTATCTGCCCCCGGACTGAAAGTGGAAGCTGGTTCCACTAAAGAGGAGCTTGATAACTGAAGGCTCCATCCTACTTTTTAAGACTAAACAAGTAACCAGCATGTATGGAGCGCAGCTCTCTAGTTGGGCCGTATGGTGTTACAAGCTCTTTAAGATAAGACGCTGCCTTGTAGGTGAGAAGTACCTTAAATTCTATTCTTAGTGATTTGATCCCTGTAAAGAATTACAGTAGTCCAGTCTAGAAGTGTAAACATCTGAGAGTTAGAGTTCTGTTTGATCAGGATATGTCCTTAAAGGTTACACAAGACATCCTCAAAGAGACGCTGTCCATAGACCTTCCCTTTGTGACCATGAAGTCTCACAAAAAAGTGCTGCGGCGCCTCCAAACATCCATTGCAACTAATTATATATTGATCAGTATATCAGTACTGACACAACAGTCAATAATAATGTACAGAGAGATGACGGAGAAGACAAGATGGTATTGATCAGCAATAGTAATCAGCCATACCATCACACACACACACGTCACAGAACAACAAGGGCAGTATTGATCAGTATCTTTTAGCATTGACCATCATCGATGATCGCACAACAACACCAAATAGAATTAGAATGAGACCTCACCGATGGAGCTCCAGTCGCTTCATGTCTCTGATCTGCTGCTCCAATGCGTCTCTCTCTCTCTCCACTTGAATTTAAAGTGATTAGTTAGTGTTCAGCGGTCAGCAGTTGAATTTGAGCTAAACTTTCTGATGACTGATGTTGAATTCTTCATGCTGAAAAGCGGATTAGGAGATAATTGTGAGGAAGGTCAGTCTCTTCATTCCACTCGGGTCGCTGTGGATTCGCTGTGAATCCTCCTCTCTATCCCGTGATTCCTGGACGCTGCTGTTGCTAGGAGACACAGGCAGAGCCACTGCACCATTTGGAGTATCTTTTCTGTGCGTCTCTGAGGACGTTTGTCCCTGCTGACACTAAGGTGTAGAGCAGTGCATTGTGGGAACGACACAATCAGGTAGGACTAGAAGTCTCGTGAAGGTAGACCAACCGGTCAGGTTATCCACGGATCAGGTTCTCTTAGGATCAAGTTGTTTACTGATCATAGCAATACTGGTCAAAAGGTCAAAGGTCACATCAACATTTAAGCTTCAAAGAAACTTTATTTATCTTAATGAACACTGACAGAAACAGCAAAGAAAACATCACACTGACAAGTGCAGCAGAGCTCCGCCTCTTAGACATCACAGTGACATCATCGAGGAGGAGGAGTCAGGGCAAACTCCCAGCAGGACAAAGATACAAATATAACTATTCATATACTTTAAAATAATCTATAGAGATACATGAGATACTCTCCATAACACTACAGATGATACGTAAATATAAAGCTGACGTCTCCCTTCACAAACTGACCAATCCCAACAGAGGAGGCGGGACTTCTACCATTGGTCACGTGACAGGAAGTGACGGACCAGCATCCAATAATCTGAGAAGTAGAATCCTGAGTTCCTGAGGTGAGAAGGTCACCTTTTTGCTGTCTTTAAAGTGTCATTACAGTGGGGGCGGAGCCACGTGTGATGTCATCGAGCCCTTACATTCATAAACAACGAGTAGCAGAGCTTCTGGTTCATCTATGTATCTTATAATAAAACAAGTACCATAATCAGATCAGATTATCATAATTAAAGATGCTTATTCATGTATTCATAAGATCCTTTCAGGTTAACATGAGACATTTTCTTATTTCTTCTCATAGTTCTTAGCTCATAGTTATGAATATATTTTCATTATTATATTATGGCTTTTCATTCTGAAAGTATTAACATTTTTCTAGTTCTGCAAACTGGTTTCTTGTGAATATAAAGTTGTTAACAAAAATATTTTCATCCCGCAAAAATATATTTTCACAAACCCAGAAACATTATTCATAACAAATTGTCACAAAATGGATAAGATTCCCTGTGTTTTAGTGTTTTTTAAGGTCGCAGCTAATCAGCTGGCAGCATTCGTGTGTTCAAACAATTAGAAAACAACTGTTTTTTCAGTTGAAGGTATTTCTTCTGGTTTAAAATGATTTTCTTCAGTGGCGGAATGGGGCTGCTGTGAACTTCGTCCTTGCTTTCTTTCTTTTTGATGAGCGTCACATGACGGGATCATCAGGAACTAAAACCTGCTCGACGATTGGATGAAAAGTGAAGAGAGGTGGTGTCGTATTGTGATTGGCAGCAATCCTCGGCGGGTGATTGGCTCCGGTCCTCGGCGTGTTTAAACATAAGGATGGAGTTGAAAATTTTGAGGGCGGGGCCAAGTTTCATTGACATAATCTTGACAATGTCCCTTTGGGTGAGTAGAAGGAAGGCCCGCCCATCGATTTGCTGGACGGACAGAAGCAGGAAAGTGAGATCATAGCCGGTACAATGTGTTGAATCTTAAGCAGCTGACGTCTCACCTCGTCCCTGAACTGTTTCGCCTGTTCTTCACAACCAGGAATAGACTCAATGAAGTCTGACACCTGCAGAGAGACAGACAGGTCAGAGAGAGAAAGACGGGTTGGGGAGAGAGACAGGTCAAAGAGAGAAAGATGGGTTGGGGAGAGAGACAGGTATGGGACCTGTCTCTCTCTCTGACCTCCTGGACGCTCCAGTGTTGGACCATCTCTGCGTGGACTGCGGAGACGCCAGGCAGCAGTTTGCGGTGTTGCTCCCAGCAGAGAGACAGGTCGCGGCTGGGCTGCGCCGACATGGCCGACAAGAAGACTGACTGGTGGAGGGCGGCCTGCAGACTGGACTCTGCAGCTGGAGACGGACGATGAGACACAACACCTTCATGATCAAACACCTCAGTGTAGTATTATTTTACTTTGAACAGTTTGAACCAACAACATTAGCATAATGCTAATAGTTAGCAGTAGCACCTTCCGGCTCTGATGCTGGTTCAGACCAGAGTCCATCAACAAACACAAGCCAGTCTGAACCACATTTCCCAAGAGCTCATAAAAACAAGAATGAGGAGACTCCCTGTCTCACCCCACTGAGCAGTGAGACAGACACAGCAGCAGCTGAGAAACCGCAGTCCTTAAACTGCTACCCCGGTTTCCATGGTGAGCCGTCTCCATGGAAACAGCCACTTCATCGGCCTGCTGTTTCCATGGAGACACAATGAGGAGCGACCGAGAGACAGCCTGATGATGACCTATGACATCGTCAATAAGACTGTTGATTTACATCATATCAGGTCATTTAGCAGACGCTTTTATCCAAAGCGACTTACTTTGTATTTTTAACCCAGAGCTTTTTATATTTTTGCCCGGGGAGCAATTAGGGGTGAGGTGTCTTGCTCAGGGACACTTTGACATGGGACATGGAGCAGCTGGAGCTCGAACCACCAACCTTGCGGTTCCCGGCGCACCCTCTCAACTCCATGCGCCACGTCGACCCTTTAAACCTTCTTAAAATACTGTTGCTGCAAGGCATTGTGGGTCGTCATAATCCCTTTTTCCTTTGGTAAAGAAAAGTCCAGTGTTTCCTTTGCTGAAGGAGAGAGGAAAGGAAGCATCAAAGCACCTCCCATAAACATGTACCTGGTGTGATGTGAAGCTCCTCCTCTTCCTGTTTCATATGGAGGAATTTGGTTGGTTGGGGCAGTCTGTGGGTGGAGCCAGTGGAGGAAAAGAAGTTATTATGAAATAAGCACAAACATCTGCATAGTCAATCCGTCTCTCCTGGAGGTCTGACTCAGTCTCACCCCTCTGTTTGTTTGTATGTGTGTATGTCTCACCCCTCTGTTTGTTTGTATGTGTGTGTGTCTCACCCCTCTGTTGTTTGTATGTGTGTGTGTCTCACCCCTCTGTTTGTTTGTATGTGTGTATGTCTCACCCCTCTGTTTGTTGTATGTGTGTAGGTCTCACCCCTCTGTTTGTTTGTATGTGTGTGTGTCTCACCCCTCTGTTTGTTTGTATGTGTGTGTGTCTCACCCCTCTGTTTGTTTGTATGTGTGTATGTCTCACCCCTCTGTTTGTTTGTTTGTATGTGTGTATGTCTCACCCCTCTGTTTGTTTGTATGTGTGTATGTCTCACCCCTCTGTTTGTTTGTATGTATGTATGTCTCACCCCTCTGTTTGTTTGTATGTGTGTATGTCTCACCCCTCTGTTTGTTGTATGTGTGTATGTCTCACCCCTCTGTTTGTTTGTATGTGTGTAGGTCTCACCCCTCTGTTTGTTTGTATGTGTGTGTGTCTCACCCCTCTGTTTGTTTGTATGTGTGTATGTCTCACCCCTCTGTTTGTTTGTATGTGTGTGTATGTATCACCCTCTGTTTGTTTGTATGTGTGTATGTCTCACCCCTCTGTTTGTTTGTTTGTTTGTATGTGTGTATGTCTCACCCCTCTGTTTGTTTGTTTGTATGTGTGTATGTCTCACCCCTCTGTTTGTTTGTTTGTATGTGTGTATGTCTCACCCCTCTGTTTGTTTGTATGTGTGTAGGTCTCACCCCTCTGTTTGTTTGTATGTGTGTATGTCTCACCCCTCTGTTTGTTTGTATGTGTGTATGTCTCACCCCTCTGTTTGTTTGTATGTGTGTATGTCTCACCCCTCTGTTTGTTTGTATGTGTGTATGTCTCACCCCTCTGTTTGTTTGTATGTGTGTAGGTCTCACCCCTCTGTTTGTTTGTATGTGTGGTCATCTCGGCACACGTTTCTATGAGTCTCACCAGTTAGTATGATCCAGCACATAGGCAGTGATCGTGTTCACCTCAGCCATCGGCCGGTCTCTGCATGATACGCAGAGAAGACGCAGGAGTCTCGTCTATATTGTCCCGTCATCAATGGATGTTCATGAGAGACAGACAGGTTCACGTACAGGTAATCAGGGACACCTGATTCAATAACAGGTAGAACCATAACCAGGAACATGATTTTTTAAGGCACACGAAGGGTGAGAAATGTGTAAATAGCACAATATGGGTAAAGAAAACCAAAAGCACTGTGTTACCTGTCTAACTGGTTGCCGTGGTGATACATGGTGACGGGTACGAGGGTGATGACTCTCTCTCCCCCCAGCCTATCGGGAAGCAGCACCTCCTTACGCAGGTTAATGTCCGAGTACGGACACCCGAAAGCGCTGGAGGGACAACGCGCAATGACATCATGACTCAGCACATAGTGACATCATGACTCAGCACATAGTGACATCATGACTCAGCACATAGTGACATCATGACTCAGCAGGTCCGTGTACCTGTGATGTCCGGTGTATTTGGCTCCTTTAATGTGTCCAACTCCTCTGCAGCCCCGAGTGGGACAGACTCCCTGTGAGGGGGACGTGGGGGAGGAGCCTGTCTCACACACAGCGTGAAACACTGTTAGAATCAGAAAACATGTCTTCCTCTCCGACCATCTCTCTCACGCTCTGACCCTTCTGTCTGTCTCACCCGTCTGACTCTCTTTAACCTGTCTCCCTTTCCCTGCCTCTGACCCGTCTCTCTCCCTTTAACCAGTGTCCCTCTGACCCGTCTGTCTGACCTGGGGGGGGCTCCAGCGGGTGTCCCGTGCGTTGGCACCAGCCCACAGGATGGAGGTCACAGTGGTCGCTGTCACTCCAGACGTCAAACTGCTGCGGCCAGCCGTCATAATGGACCTGCAGGTGAACACACCTGGTGACATCATCACACACCGCGTGACATCTGTGAGACGGGCGCACAGATGGGTCCTAGGTACCTTCACCCTGTAGTTCTCTGTATCCGTTACCGTGGCGACACGGATCAACATGGGGTTCCTCCTGTCCACTGCCTCCAGCTTCTGGTTCACCTGGAAACCGTGTGGAGCTCTCTGATTGGACGAAAATACACCTCTCCATCACGACATGCAGCTCACTGAGCGATGGCTTCTCTACCCCTTGTTTCCTTCCCTACGCCCTTGTTTCCTCACCAGTGTGAAGGCTGAACTGGGGGCGGCTGTGGAACCAGTTTGCTGGAGGTATTCCTCCCAGAGGAAGTTCTCTGGGTTTGAGTGTCCTGAAGAACACAAGTATCCATTACTCAGAGTACTACAGATACAGTGTACTGAATGTGTACTGAGTGTGTACAGAGTGTGTACCCTGAGGGGGGGTCAGAGGTCGCCCCTGTTCTTCACACCAGCCCACAGGATGGATGTACGGACTGCTGCTGTCACACCTGATCCGTTCCATAATGACCCATCAACAAATACACTTTACTCATATTGTTAATACAACAACTGCTAATATTACTACCACCACTAATCATGCTAGTACTACTACTACCAGTCGTAGTACTAGCATGTGCCCCAGTAGCTCATGTGTATTCATCTCACGGTCTCTATACTATGGTGATATTTAAATTGTTGAGGTGGAGGCTTCCTGCTTCATCCTCCACTGTGAATCCATCTTTGCTACGCTGTCCCTGACCTGTCCGCCCGGCTCCACCCGGTCCGCCTCACCAGTAGTCGTACGTGTCATCCCAGTTGTCGAAGTGAACCAGGAAACGGTCTCCGATGACATCAGCGACGGAGGCGACGCAGACGAGTCCCGGGTTCTTCCTGTCGACCGCCTCCAGCTTCCTCCCCACATGGAAGCCACAGCTCTGAGAGACAGACAGGTGATGAGATTAAACCCACAGCAGACAGACAGACAGGTGTATACCGACTGCAGACAGACAGGTGTATACTGACGGCAGCGCGACAGGTGAACAGGGTCGGCGGAGCAGCATGAGAGCCTGTGGACTGAAGGTAATGCTGCCAATCAAAGTCTGTCTCACTGAGGCCTGGAAGGAGACACAGACAGGTTGAGTGGGGTCACCTGTGTCAGGGGGTCCTCTGTGAGGAGGCGGGGCTACCGTACTCACCTTTGGGTGGGTGGAGCCTGTGGTTGTTATCTTTACACCAGCCTGCGTGTCGGATGTCTGCGGAGTCAGAGTTCACCCAGAAATCGTAGCACTCAGAGTAGCTGTCGATATGGAGGCGGAGCCGACAGCCAATCACCTGAGAGAGACGGGAGAGTCACCTGACCGCCGTCCGAAAGGTGTGTATGTATGTGGGCGTGTGGAGTTGTACCTCAGCAACGGTCAGCACACAGAACATAGAAGGATGCAGCGGGTCGACGCCCTCCAGCTTCATCCCAACTTTAAAACCATTTCTCCTACTGGGAACAGACTGGGACTGACAGACAGGTCAGAGGGGGAGTGTGTTACCGGTGCGTGTGTGTGTGTATACTTGTGTTACCTGTGTGTGTGTGTTACCTGTGTAAACAGTGACAGAGGAGCAGCTTCACTTTTCTGTTCGTTCAGGTACTGCTGCCAGGACCAGGACCGTCTCTTTACACTCACTGAGGACACACACACACATCTGTTACCATGGTTACAGCACTGCTAACCCAACCTAGACCCCCGAGTGTGTGTGTGCGTGTCTGTGTTACCTTGAGTGCTACAGACTTTGTTCTTCATCTTCGTGATCTTCTTCTTTGTTTGTTTTCTGATGAGACACACACACACACACACACACACACAGTGTGTCAGTGTGAGAGGCTTCAAACCAGGTGAATGTATTTCTTTTTCATCCCATAAATACACCAGACACTCATCATCACCATCTTCGTCATCGTGAGGACACACGTGTAAACACACACTCCAGAAGGAAGCCCTCACATACACATTCAAAATAAATGTCTATCTGCAGCTAAAGTGTCAGAATTTATTCAATTATTTAATATTTTGTTTCACATCGGACACCATGATTAATATTTAACGCCTCCTGGTTTGTGTAATAGTAAAAGTAAAAATGTAGCACGTAACTACATGTATGGTGTTTTTTTCATGTCAGTATTTATACTTTTGAAAGAACTAAGAAGCGTAAAAGAAGAAACTATCACGACTCTTATTGTGAATGTCTAACCGGAAGTGTGGTCCCAGTGAGGCTGACAGGTTAAATCAGGAAACAACAAACAGCGGTGATCCGCGGCCCTTTCCGCCGGCCTTCAATCTCCTCTGAGCCGCTTCAGAGGCGGCAAAGAGCCGCTTAGAGGAACCGGATCCCCAGAATGATAGACAGGACCGAGGAGCCGGTACCGGTACCGAACGTTTGGACAGAAACTTACCGTCGCCGATGTTCCGCCTCACTCTGCTGCTGACAGCAACACAACACGGAACTAAAGAAGCGCCGAGCCTAACGCGCATGCGCACACAGAGGGAGGGAAGGAGAGACGGAGAGACACAGATAGCGAGACAGATGTAGAGAAAGAGAGTCAGTCAGACTGACAGAGAGACAAAGACAGACAGACAGACAGAGAGAGGGAGACTTGAAAACATCCATATTGTAACGTTTCGTGTCAATAAAGAGCCAGGTTCTTATCGCTCGGGTTTATTGTTGTCTGTTGTCGGCCACAGCCACGCCACTTCACACACCCGGTCATCAACTTAGTCAGAACAGAACTTCCCCTTCCTGTGCTCCCCGAAAACTACCCACATTCCCCGGAAGGGGCGGTACCCCAACAATGGCCTACGTAACAGTAACATTAATCAGAGCCATATACATCATGAACTTAAGGCACGCTACAATATATTGAGGCAGAATCAGATTACTAGTTAAAAGTCGAGTTCAGCAGCAAACTGATGAGTTGCACAATTTTGATAAACTTAAATCATTACAAGATGATCTTAAATCTGTTTGGAATAAAAAATCCATAAATGATCATAATGCTCAAGCTAGACCTCCAGTCTTCATGCTAAGCTAACTTGTGAAGTTGGACTGGTCTGAGCTGGTGTTCATAAGTCTAATCACTACAAAGTTTGGATCCAAAACCAACACATAACGCTGATATTCACATCAACGGGGAAACCGTTCAAACTGATCCTGATCTTAAATATGTCGTCCTGTGTTGGAAGAAACATGGAAAGAAAATAGCTGAAACCATAAAGTACAATTTCACTGAAAACATGTGCAATAAAGACGACAATGTGCAATAACCACTGTGATATGTGTACATATACATATATTTATTATATTTAGCTACTGTGGCATTTTATTGTGTCTTGTCATTTTTATCATTATCATGATACTGCTGCTCCTGTTCTTTGTGTGCCCCCTCTCTCCTTAGCCCCTCCCATCCGCCTCCCTCTCTCTCTCCTTAGCCCCTCCCATCTACCCCCCTCTCTCCTTAGCCCCTCCCATCCGCCTCCCTCTCTCTCTCCTTAGCCCCTCCCATCTACCCCCCTCTCTCCTTAGCCCCTCCCATCCGCCTCCCTCTCTCTCTCCTTAGCCCTCCCATCCGCCTCCCTCTCTCTCTCTTTAGCCCCTCCCATCCGCCTCCCTCTCTCCTCTCCTTAGCCCCTCCCATCCGCCTCCCTCTCTCTCTCTTTAGCCCTTCCCATCTACCCCCCCTCTCTCCTTAGCCCCTCCCATCCGCCGCCCTCTCTCTCTCTTTAGCCCTTCCCATCTGCCTCCCCCAAATCTCTCTTTAGCCCCTCCCATCTGCCTCCCCCTCTCTCTCTTTAGCCCCTCCCATCTGCCTCCCCCACATCTCTCTTTAGCCCCTCCCATTTGCCTCCCCATCTCTGAATTTAGCCCAGCCCAATCCCATGACCCCTGTTGCGCTGTAGCGTTCCAATCTGGATCACCGTCTCCATCTGTAGTCCCTCCCATCTGACTCCCCCACGTCTCTCTTGAGCCAATGCCATACGCCTCATTCTCTTTCTCATTCGCCCGTTCCATCTGACTCCCCCACATCTCTCCTTAGCCCCTCCCATCTGCCTCCCCCACATCTCTCCTTAGCCCCTCCCATCTCCCCCGCTCTCTCCTCACAGATGAGCGGACCGATCGGAGGTGAGTGTTTCTTCTCTTTACATCTTCATTGTTGATGGATCACAGATTAATAACAGATGATGTGTTGTACGATAAATATACATATCTCAGATGTTAATTGTTCCAATAACAAATCAATGATTATTCAACGTATTTATTCAATAATTATTCTTTTCTAAAATCTCATTAGTTTCAAAACATTCCCTGAACATTTGTTGTTGTAATGAGGACAGCGGACTGAGATTTACATCAGACTCAAGACCGTGATCCAGTGGGTCCAGCCCCAGAACCACCAACAGAACATCTGGACTTCATTCGGACTGGTTGAAAGTTTCAGTCCGTGTTTGAGGATTTGAGAGGAATAACCAGCTCGGGTTACAGCTGAGGACTTGAGTGAAGACACTTATCTGTGATTGTCTGACACTATCCATTTCCTCCTAATGGACCCACCGGAGCAACCGACGTTAGCCTGCGTACACCACTCACTCCTCCCCGTGGAACCGGAACCATTAGACCCAGCCCCCCCCAGCCCCCGACCATGGATCAATGCACTGGAAGACACACGGTATCAATATTTAATATCAGCTCAACGTCCCTCAGCAACCACAACATCTAAAAACAACAGCAAATATACAAAACGTTTCTGATTGACTGACAGGATCTATGGGTCCTGATTGGCTCACCAGCTGGGGGGGGGGCACTTTTATTGGCTTAGGAGCTACTTTTCAATGGACCACCAATGGCAGGCGATCTACCGGCCTTGGCGTTTGGGACCTGGATTATAGGATCTATGCATCCTGATTGGCTGGCAGGATCAATAAGCTCTGATTGGCTGGCAGGATCAATAAGCTCTGATTGGCTGGCAGGATCACTAAGCTCTGATTGGCAGACAGGATCTCTTTGCTCGCTGTGTCTCTGCAGGATGTGGACATCTCCACCTACCACCTCCTCGGCTCCCCCTCCTCTGCCTCAAACAATGACCTCTGACCTCCACCACGTCACCATGGAAACCTTCTGGAGAGAGGTGCGCAGCATCGAGGAGGAGATTGATGGAGAGGAAGAAGAGGAGGAGGATGAGGAGATGAAGAGCATAGACGGTGAGTTAAACTAATGCCAGAGTGAGACGTTGTCTTCCTGTCTGACTCGTCTGTCTTTGCCTGCAGAGGTGGAGCTGGAGGAGGCGTGGCTGATGGAGGCAGGGCTATCCTCCCTGGTCACCTCCTCTTTGTCGGAGGAGGTGCCGCCGCCCGCCGAGGTGCTGCTGTCCACGTTGACCCGACAACAAGCCGCCACGGTGAGGAGGAGGCTGGACAACTACAGCGAGACGCTGAAGACCAGAAACCGGAAGCCAATTAGAGACGTCCGAGACGTCTTCACCGAGGTAGCTTAGAGAAACATCAGTTACATTTTAAACAACGTGACACTTTAACAAAAATAATAATCTTCAATAATGGATTTAAATAGAACGATATGAACATACAACACAATATAAGAACATGTGTGTTTTCTCTCACACACACACACTGTTTCAGCCCAACGATGAACCAGCAGAGAGATGTCCCGCCCCCCCGTCCCCCCCCGAGTCACCACTGAGTCAATACCACACCACTACCAAAACCATTCGGCGAAAAGCTCACAGAGGTACCAGTCGGTCAGAGGTCCCAATGCTTCTTTCTGCAGATCTAAAGTAGATCTACTGGCGGTCGGGTTGTTTTAGTTGTTCTAAAGGTGCTTTGAGTGGCTGCGGTTGTCTTTTAGGTTCGTAATTGTCCGTCAGGAGGTTGAAGTTGTCTTTAAAGCGGGTCTACTGGTCCTGCTGCTCTGTAACGGTTGGACGAAGAAATAAAAACACTTTTATTGTTTGTGTTTCCAGTTCGATCAACTCTTCCTACATTTGTTTTTGAAGATCAACCTCCTGAACACTCGTCATCCTCAACACACACACTCTCTCCGACGCGCACACACTCTCTTTGTGTCAGTTGGTCGGGACAAGCTGATTGGCTGCTGCGAGACTCTCCGTACTCGGAGGGCGTGGCTGAGCACAGGAGGGGCGGGACGTGTCAGGACTGTGTCCGTTTCCATGGAATCGATGGTGGGGATGTGCCGGTGAGTGTGACCTCTGACCTCCTGACACGCACCGTTGCTTCTTGTTTCTGTCTTTGTGTTGTATAATCACTCTATGTACAGTCACCAGAATGCGTGTGTGTGTAGGAAAGAAACTAAATGTATTTCTTTAGTGAACATCTGGTAGAACATCCAGATCTTTGACTTTGTCCAAATGACAGCAGCATGAAGCTGTGTGTGTGTGTGTGTGTGTGTGTAGTTTGTACCTGTCGCACCCTCTCAGGGCCTCGTCTCGGCAGACGACTTGTCACCATGTGACCTCACCCGCCTCGGCTTCATCTCCCACATCGAGCTCTCCACCTTCCTGCTCGCTCTCGGGGTACAAACCAAAAGGCCTCGCCCGCCGCGACGAAAGACCCGGGGTGTGCTTCATTTTCACATCAGCTAGGTTTGAGACAATGTGGAGACGACGCACAGCTGAGGGAAGTTTAAACGAACAATGAAAAGTCAGAGACAAGGAATCTGATTATAATAATTATTGTCATAAAGGGCGTGTATGATGGACTGTAGCAGTAGTCATTTGTATCACTATTGTTATTATTATAGCAGCAGTGTTCGTTAATCTCCGGTGTGTGTCCCTGTCCCTCAGATAGCGGCGTCTTCGCTGTTCCTCTCAACTCGCTGTTAGAAAACGACAAGAAGAAGTTTCCAGAAGTTAAGGTTCCTGTCGTCTTCCAGAAGGTCAAGACACTGTCTGTCCACCCGTCTGTCCCTGTGTTTTCAGGATGCACTCCTCCATCGTAGTCCTGTGACAAACGTGTGTGTGTGTGTGTAGTTGTTGTGTACTTTAGAGCAGACTGGTCTGCAGACTGAAGGGATTCTCAGAGTTCCAGGATCAGCTGCTCGACTGAAGGTAACACACGCACACTGTTGTTGTCATACTTCACAGAATGATGGAGTGACACCTGTCTGTCTGCTTGTCTGTTTCCTCAGTACCTGCGTGGAGAGTTAGACAGGTGCTGTGGAGAGTTCGACTGGTCTACAGTGAGACAGGTGGAGGCTGCAGGTCTGCTGAAGCTTTTCATCAGAGAGCTGCCGACACCTCTGCTGACACACACACACCTGTCCACCTACCGCTCTGTGCTGGGTACACACACACACACACACACACACACCTGTCCACCTACCGCTCTGTGCTGGGTACACACACACACACACACACACACCTGTCCACCTACCGCTCTGTGCTGGGTACACACACACACACACACACACACACCTGTCCACCTACCGCTCTGTGCTGGGTACACACACACACACACACACACACCTGTCCACCTACTGCTCTGTGCTGGGTACACACACACACACACACACACACCTGTCCACCTACTGCTCTGTTCTGGGTACACACACACACACACACACATACACCTGTCCACCTACTGCTCTGTGCTGGGTACACACACACACACACACACACACCTGTCCACCTACCGCTCTGTGCTGGGTACACACACACACACACACTGTCCACCTATCGCTGTGTGCTGGGTACACACACACACACACACACACCTGTCCACCTACCGCTCTGTGCTGGGTACACACACACACACACACACACCTGTCCACCTACTGCTCTGTGGTGGGTACACACACACACACCTGTCCACCTACTGCTCTGTGGTGGGTACACACACACACACCTGTCCACCTACCGCTCTGTGCTGGGTACACACACACACACACACACACACACACACACACCTGTCCACCTACTGCTCTGTGGTGGGTACTGTAGGATATTAGAAATAAACTGACGACCGGGTTCATAAATTAATAAAATGCATTTAGTTTACAACATAATACAGCCATGATTCTGAAACTGTGTTTGATTTTGAAACTATATTGAACAGAATAATATCAATGTACAGTTATGCTTGTATTTAATGCAATGTAATCAATTGGAATACATTCAATACTTGTAATACTAATACATGTAATACTTGATAGCACCACAACTGATATTGACTGAGAGACCTTTGGAATGAGAGTTACATTGAACTCACCAGAAGGCTCCCAGAGGTGTGGACACTAACTTTCACACCTTTACGGGTCTGTATAAATACCTGTAGGAACCATTGTTCTGGAGTTTGCTGGTGGAGGCGACAGACGGGCACTAGGGGGGTCAAAGGACCCTGTGGAGACCAGTGGCTCCTCAGCGGAGATCTTCTTTTTACCACAACACACTTTCTTTTATTAAATACATTTGATTGTTACTTTTCGATCCACGATGTCCTTTGTCTGTCCGTTCATTTTGAACACACCGGCACACACACACACAGATGGAACCATTCCGGTGTGCGTCGACAATGTACACTGTGTGTTGTCTGGTGTCTCTACAGGTGTGTCCTCAGTGGTCCACCAGGTGCAGGCTCTTCAGCTGCTGTCGTTGTTGCTTCCTGAAGAGAACAGAGAAACACTCAGAGTAAATCCGTCCCCTCAGTATTCGCGTCACATTAGTAACTTGTCAATCAACTCAGTAAATAAACAACCAGACAGGAACAAGTGTAATGGTTATAAACACCTGAGGTCGGGTAAACCTGGTTGTGTTTCCATGGTTACAGGCTCTGCTGGCCTTCCTACGTAAGGTGGTCTCTCATCAGGACCAGAACAGGATGTCTCTGTGGAATGTCTCCATGGTAATGGCACCAAACCTGTTCACCTACTCACAACGTGGCAACAAGCGCTCCATCGCCAAGCAGCGGGAGGGGATGGAGGAGGCGGTGGGTGGAGCTCACCTGGTCCGGCTGATGATAACACACCAGGACCTTTTGTGGACCGTGAGTCAGAGGACAACACATTAACAGCCTCAGTGACATCACCTTTCGTCGTCCTTCACATGACTTCCTGTTTGCTTTGGAAGGTTCCCAGCTTCCTGCTCTCCCAGGTGAGACAGATGAACCAAGCATCCAATCAGAAACAGTTTGACCTAACTAAAGCAAAAAGACGACTGCTGAGAAGGAAGAACGACAGAAACCAGGTGAGCCTAGTTACCAGGTGGGACAAGTCAACCAGGTGGGACAGGTTAACCAGATAGGAAGTGGACTTACTTCAGAAATACGTTAGTAACTTCCTCTGATGTCATTCGTGTGAGTGACATCACACGAATGAGGTGTGTGTGTGTGTATGTGTGTGTGCGCAGATCACAGAGCTGTGTGCAGGTGTGATCAGGGTTCAAGCCCCCCTGCACACCAAGGTTTCCATGGCAATACAGCTTGATGGACAGATGAGAGCCAAAGACATCATCACGCGCTTTGAGTGTGACCACAGGTAACTCTCTCTCTCTCACACACACACACACACACTCACACACACACACACACACACGTTTAAGTACAAATGAATGGGCGGTACCTGTGGTGACGGACAGGTGTGCGGAGTAGACACACAGCAGAACTGATCTATCATCATCTATCATTGTGTTTCTCTACCAGCAGTTCTGTTCAGCATCTGTATGAAGTTGGAGGAAACATCTGTAAGCCTGAATAAACATAATAAAAGTTTGAACATATTACTGATCATCACAGATTTATTTAGAGATGATCTGTCTGTCTCAGGTGAGCGGCGGCTCCACCCTGACTGCCTCCTATTGGACGTCTACAGAGTGAATCCTGGCTGTGATTGGCTGATCAAACCCTGAAGAGCACTTTATTCATTTCTTCTGTATTTGATACGTATTTTTATTGTTCAATCATCAGATGAAACCTTTGTTCACTGATATGTTGTAAAAAGTGCTCATATTAAAAACATAAAGAGCAGCTGGTCTGTGTTGGTTGATATGAAAGCACCTGATGAAATATAATGAATAAATAAACGTTGGGGATTTTTAAAACAATCTGCTCATGAAACTGAACAGAACAACAAACTTTATACAATCAATAAATCAACCGTTTACTGTACAGACTGAAAAATGATCCTGTACATTTACAAAGAGACAAATAACAAATGATTCACAGAGGAGGGGTCCGTGTCCATAGCGTGTTCTTAACATGTCATCGTGACGTCTGTTCAGGCTCTCTGATCACAGCAGGGAAACATGACTTCAACGAGCACAGAACATTCAGAGTCTGATCAAGAAACATATTTATGCAGCAACACCTGTCCAGATGTTAGGAGCAGGCAGCTGATGAGTCCAGATGTTAGGAGCAGGCAGCTGATGAGTCCAGATGTTAGGAGCAGGCAGCTGATGAGTCCAGATGTTAGGAGCAGCCGATGCTGTCCAGATGTTGCTCCTCAGCAGCCATGGCAGCAGCCTGCAGTGCCTCCGTGTCGCTCTGCAGTGGATTCATCTGCTTCCTCTCGCTGTGCATATTGTTCTCATGACGCTTCAAATCTGACGCCTGAAGGAGCAGAAGGAAGCAGAGTTATAGAGGTACTATAGTAGCAGTATTATAGAGGTATAATAGTATCAGTAGTATTACCTTGGCGAAGGCCTTGTTGCAGGATGGACAGACGAAGGGTTTCTCTCCTCGATGTCTCCTCTCATGGTCCTTCAGGTGAGACTTGTGTTTAAACGCCTGCAGACAGACGGGTGTTTGATAAAAACCGGTCAGAGACAGACAGACAGACACCAGGTAGGAGACGGTCAGGGGAGCTCACCTTTTCACACAACTGGCAGGCGAAAGGCCTCTCGTTGCTGTGAACGCGTTCGTGTTTCTTCAGGTCTGGAGCTCGAATGAACGATTTCCCACAAACGTCACACCTGTACGGTTTAAAGCCTGTGTGAATCTTCAGGTGCTCTGAAACACACAGGTGAGGGCGGGGCCATAGTGAAACAAACTGAATCTGTAAAATGGCCCATCGTGTGTTCCCTCTTAGCTTCTCGCTATTGGTGTACGGTAATTATCTGATGACATCAGAACTGTGTTTTTACCTTCAGTGAGCCGTGAGGTGTCAGCTTGTGCATTCCCAGCCAACGCGTCCGTCGAATGAGCTCTCCATGTTTTTCGTAGACAGAAAGATCAGTTGAGCTGTTCTCTAACGTGGCTGGTCTCTGTAGGTAAGCTGGTCTGGGAAGGTTTGTACTTCATCGGCCTTAGTCACAGGAAGGTCTTCCCACACACCTGGCATGCGAGTTGGTCCGGTGTCCATACAGCAGGTACTCAAACTTCATGTCGGTGGTGGCCGTGGACCAGCCGGGCGGCTGCTCGTCTTTCACCTCCCCCATACTTTCTGCAAAAGTCAGGGTCTGGGTGGCGTGGTGCTCCGCCCCCAACTCTTTAGGCTCCGCCTCCATGTCAACGTCGTGGTCGTAGCAGGTTACCTGGAGAAGTCCCATGATCAGTCTGCCATTCGTTGCCAGTGTTCAGGGTGTGTGGGTTGTTACCTTTTGTACGTCCTCATTGGTCAGTTCTTTCAGGATGGCCTCCTGGACACGTAGCGCAGCAGTGGGAGACTTATCCAGCTCCTGATTGGTCGATGCCCCAACAAGGTCATCCGGGGTGGGTGTGTCATCGTGTTCTCCCAGCACCTGCGCACACACACAAACACACAATAATAATTCAATATACTATATATATTATTTAGGGATGTCAACATAAATATGTTCATCTATGCAATTAATGTGGCGGAGATTAATGCGGCAAAATGTTTTAACGTAGTTAAAGTAACTTTTTTTAAACTTCCGGTTTAACTGAAAGTGTTCGATGAAACAAAACAGCCGCTGGAATTTCAAAATGTCCGATTAATCAGTTAATCTTTTAAAATGTATTGACCTAATATTATTGCATTATAATGTGTTGAAGAGGGTTTGATGGATCTCTGACTATGGATCAATAATTAGTACCTCGGCATCAGCGGCCAGCTGGGCCTCGGGGGGAAGCGCCATCTTCACAATGTCATAGGGGAACTTGTCTTTGTCCTCTGAAGACAGGTCTCGTTTCTAAGGACACATCATCACACAGAGGATGAGCTTTCCCTGTCAGTTGAACACGGTGAGAGTTACCTGTGTGACTGTTACCTAAGTGACTGTTACCTGTGTGACTGTTACCTAAGTGACTGTTACCTAAGTGACTGTTACCTAAGGCACTTAGGTAACACTCACTCTGATAACACTCACTCTGATAACAGTCACTTAGGTAACAGTCACTTAGGTAACACTCACTTATCAGAGTGACTGTTATCAGAGTGACTGTTACCTAAGTGAGTGTTACCCAAGTGACTGTTATCAGAGTGACTGTTATCAGAGTGACTGTTATCAGAGTGACTGTTATCAGAGTGACCCTAACGGTAAGTGAGTGTTACCCAAGTGAGTGTTACCCAAGTGACTGTTATCAGAGTGACTGTTACCTAAGTGAGTGTTACCCAAGTGACTGTTATCAGAGTGACTGTTACCTAAGTGAGTGTTACCCAAGTGACTGTTATCAGAGTGACTGTTATCAGAGTGACTGTTACCTAAGTGAGTGTTACCCAAGTGAGTGTTACCCAAGTGACTGTTATCAGAGTGACTGTTATCAGAGTGACTGTTACCTAAGTGAGTGTTACCCAAGTGAGGGTTTTTCCAGAGTGATTTTATTGAGCGACAGTTACTGAGAGCAGAGTTTGTCGAGGAAGCGAATGCCTAGTATCGTCCTGGAGACATCATGAAGTTGACGTCTCTCTTCTGCACTGATATCCTCGCAGGTACATGTAGTTCAACACCTCCTCAAAGATGTCAGAGCGAATGAAGTCGATCTCAATCACAGAGGAGTTGTCCACCTGAGACAAAGTCACACAGGTGAGTCAGATTGAGTTTAGTGATGTCTTTGAGGGTACAAATGCTTAGTTTGACATACCTTTGTTTTTACCTATTTTTAGTATTTGGTTGGTACTTTGTTTTTTTAAGTGGTTAGTACCTTGTGTATTTTAAAGAGTTGTTAAACTATTAGAACAGTACCTCATGCTTTTTGAAGAGTTTTTTGAAGTAGTTTGAGCAGGCGGCGAGCACACAGCGGTGAGCTCTAAACTTGACGTCTTCGACCACCACGGCGATGTCGCAGTGTTCGCCTTCCAGGCGCTGCTCGTTCAGCAGCTTCAGGAAGATGCTCCGATGCTCATCATCCACGTACTTCACCGTCTCCGCCATCTGCGCAGTGGACTAGTTAAAGTAACCAGGTTAGATCATCACATCACTAGTTATAGTAATGTAGGATATCAAAAACTGATAACCATCTTTCCTTGAGATATCAATAAAGAAATGAGAACGATGTAATGCCAGTGTACAACTGTACATTTAAAAGTATTAACAATGCATAAATATTATTGTATTAAATGTAATGTGATCAGCTAATGCATGCATGTAATACGTAATATAACCATCTACATTGAGCGAGAAACATTGAAAATCCAACTTACATTGAACGCATCATTCAGTGTAATACCTCATTGCACCACTTTATCTAAAGCAGCGGTTCCCAAACTCAAGAACGCCGCGGCCCAATTTGAAATCTGAAAATCTTTTGCGGCCCAAACCTTTAATCACAACTCTGATCAAAACATAAACTAGGGATGATTAAATGACCTGAAGAATCTAACAGATTAAAAATGTATTAACTGACAATGTATGTTTGGAGGAGGAGCCATCCACGCCTTAAATCTCCGGCTGCTTGTAGAATAACTTATTTCCCCGTTAAGACGGTTCAGCCACTGTAGAGAAAAGGGCGCCGTCTCTCGCTCTTTAATCTCATGAAGTGCTCGGCGAGAACGACAGCTTTGTTTCTCCGACGCGCCCTGAAAGCAGCTCCGTATCTCACTCCGCATCTCGCCGTCGTAGAGCTTTGGCGTGTTTGGCAGAGTGTACAACCAGTACGGATCAACCAGTTAACCAATTGATCCATGTATAAGAATCCGGATTATAAGGCGTACTGTGGTTTGAGGAAACTAAAGCCTTTTACGTGCGCCTTGGAGTCCGTAAAACGCCGTATATTGACTTTAATACTACAAGAGGCGCCCCATGTGACATTGTTTTGTTTGGCGGCGCCGTTTGTTGAACAACGACAGGCGGACAAGAGCAGCCGTTTGGAGCGAGAGTCTGATGGTTTTATTGATCTGTCCGTTTAAATTGTTTGTGCTTCATCAACGAATGTTTCACATAACTAACGTGCCGCATCATAAATATTTCCATAGTAATTTCAAACTTTTCAAAATTGAAAATTAAAACCATTTTATTTATTTATTGTAAAGTGGGGTAGTCGCGCGCTCTGCGTTCGCTGGTGGGCGGTAAGAGGACAATGTGCGCTCGTCGGAGAACGAACGGAGAAAATCCGGTCAATTTTCAAAATAAAACATTTTTCAGAAGAAAAAAAAAAAAAGTTCTTTCTGTGGGGCGGCCCGGTACCAAACGGCCCGGCAGCGCTCCGGTGGTTGGGGACCACTGCTCTAAATAACCTGGGTTGGCCTTGAACGCACCAGAAGACGTCATGTGCTCAGGGGACACTGACCCAATCACCACAGGAAAACTCTGCACACCTTTTTGACTGTCCATATATGTACGTGTGTGTCCCCGTGTTCGGGATTCGTAGGTGGAACCTGTAGGATATTAGAAGTGAACTGACGACCCGGTTCATAAATTAATAAAATGCATATAATGTACACCAGAACACAGCCATGATTCTGAAACTGTATCAATAAAGTAATGCGATATTATGAAACCACTGTAATTTTGAAACTGTAATCAACAGAATAATATCAATGTACAGTTATGCTTGTATTTAATGCAATGTAATCAATTGGAATACATGCAATACTTGTAATACTAATACATGTAATACTTGATAGCACCACAACTGATATTGACTGAGAGACCTTTGGAATGAGAGTTACATTGAACTCACCAGAAGGCTCCCAGAGGTGTGGACACTAACTTTCACACCTTTACGGGTCTGTATAAATACCCGTAGGAACCATTGTTCTGGAGTTTGCTGGTGGAGGCGACAGACGGGCACTAGGGGGGTCAAAGGACCCTGTGGAGACCAGCGGCTCCTCAGCGGAGATCTTCTTTTTACCACAACACACTTTCTTTTATTAAATACATTTGATTTTAACCTTTCAATCCGCGATGTCCTTTGTCTGTCCGGCGTTTCTTCATTTTGAATACAACAAACCGGTAGACAGTTAACTACATTGTAGGTGGACGGTGGCGTATCAATGGCTTATATATTGTTTTAGTCCTGGCTATGGCGTTCTAATTTGATGTGCAGCATCACCATTTTCTTTCGTAATTAATGCATTGTTTGGTAAACTCGTCTGCCACAGACGCCCAGAAATGCCAATCAGGAGAGAATTTAAGATCAGAAGCACAGAATTTTAAACACTAACTTGACACAACAGATTGAGAGAGGCCTGATTAAAGGACACAGACGCTAACGCTGGTATTACATTAATTGTCAATTAGCGGACGCTTTTATCCATAACGACGTACAATAAGTGCATTCAACCATAAGGATACAAACTCAGAAGAGCAAGAAACAAGAAAGTGCAATTTGATCAAATCGGCAAAGTTACAATTTGCTGCCATTAAAAGTACAATTTAAGTGCTAGATTTTGCTAGTCTTTTTTTTTTTGTATTGCCCTACAGACCGACGTCAGCTGTCATTGCAGACCTGGTTTTCGCAGGGATTAAATATTGGTTAAAGGGTCGCCAAAATGACCATCAATGCTGTCAACGTATCCAGGAACCCAGTTCTGGCCTTTCACAATAAGATATCCTGCTTCAACACCTCCAAATAAAAGCTCTTTCCCCATCGCCCCAGCATTGCCCGAGTGGTCTTACTACTTTCTCTCATCAAAGTAACTTTCCTACAGTTGTTCGACATGTAAATGATTATGTATAATATATATATATATATATAATATATAACTCTCAGCAGGGGCTGGGTGCTGTATTACATATCAGAGGCAGCAAGGCAAGCTGGCGGTCATCGGTTACGGGTCGAGGACACGAACAGGAAAAGTGAACAAAGATGCTGATGGCCTGTTGTGGCCGCTGGACATGGAGCAGTACCAACAAAAATGCAAACAGGAAATGGAGCCTGAGGTAATAACAGGTGTCACGCAGGCACTACAATTGGAGTCCCACGAGCATGAACACTGGATGTGTCCAGTCACCATCACTGCAGCTTGCAAAGACGTAGAAAGCGACAACATGTTTACTTTGTTTGTTTATTATTGTGATTTATATATGCAATGTCTGTTATTCCAATTGTTTATACATTATGGTGACAAATGTAGCAGTTATGCATAATCAAATACAAAAGAAATGGTAGAAGTTTGAGCGTTTGAGTATGTGCGTCTCTTAAGTGTGGAGAAAAAAAACAAAAATCCTGTTAAATTTTCTGATTTGTATTGGTTTGTTTTTTCTATAAAAATGTATTATGTTCAAGGTGCAGAACCTGTTTGTGGACTTTGTGAAGTATTTTTGCAATGTGAAGGGTGGACATTAAAGCTTTTTTTAATGCTGTTTTTTTTTAATCAGATTAATTGAAAAAATGATGAACCAATTAATCCATTATCAAAATCATTAGTTGCAGCCCTTTAGTCAATTGAGCAGTGTGTGTTTTCATTGTTGCTGACTGACTGGCCGCCGTGTAATTATTAAACACGAAGGTCCGAGAGATGGAACTTTGTTGTCAATAATCAGAATCAGAAGCCATTTATTGCCACAGTCACAGTGCAGCCTGCCCTCGTCCTTGGCTGTGGCTGCAGCGTACCAGACGGTGATGGAGGAGCAGAGGATGGACTCCATCATGACGGAGTAGAAGTACACCATCACTGTCTCACACAGGCACTGGGGGCAGCTAAAGGGTCCTTCGAGGGAAGGACAACACAGGAATGTAGCTGACTAAGCCTGAAATACCAACAATTCTTCATCAAACTGATGCTGCATGTCCAACAAATACACCAATGTACTTATTCCATGTTTGATAAGTCATCTGGTGATGAAGAGGAGGAGGAGGAAGAGCTTCACCGCCACAAGTAGTTCATGTACCTCTTATACCGCGGACACGCGCATTGGAGCGTGCACGATGGATCAGGCTCAACCTCTCGGTCTGGATGGCAGACATGCTAGCTGTTAGCTTCGAGCTAACCGATCCCATGGGCCGGAACCGAGCGGCTCTGACCGGTAAACCAGTTTGGCTGGGTCCGAACCGGGACGGGTACCGGGCACCGAGTCCCGTTTCTACGCGACTCCTGTTAGTTTAAACCGCGGTTAAGTGTGCTAAGCTAAAGAGGCTAGCAGCTGCGAGCCGAACGCTGTGTCGCTTCCACCGGAGCGCGTCAGAACCGTCCAGCTCCACGGTGTTTAACGGGACGTTTCACCGGTCCGTCCCGGTGAGTACGAGGGCGCACGCGTGTGCGCGTGTCGGAGAGGCGGACCGCCTGCTGTTCGCTTTTTACTCAAGATGGCGCGTATCCGGTCTCGGTGCTGCACGCGGATTCCCCATTGAAAACCTGCGGACCGACGTCACTGGCGGAGCGCGAGCCTGCTCGCGGGCCCTCGCGCTCCGCCCGTCCCCGGGACTGACTCGCAAGCACGCGGGCATCGGTGCCGCGGCCTCGGCCACACGAACGACACCGGGAGCTCGAGTGCGCGCAGCCTCCGCGCGGTACCGATGCGGCGCGAGGAGGAGCAGGAGGAGGTCTTACCGTCGCAGCGGGTCCTCGGAGGGGGGGGGGGGGCGCACCGGGAGCCACTTTGTCCGGTTGTTGTTGTTGTTTGTGTTGATGACGATGAGGACGAGCACAGAGCGGAAGGCCGCGCTTTGCGCCAGCACGCACACTGCGGGGGCACGCAGCAGCGCGCCAAACCGCCTCCGTGGGCGCGCCCGGCCGCTGCCTCTCGCGCATGTGCAGTGCGTAAGGAGCCGCCATGTTGTAGTTTAACTGTTATTTCTAATTGCCCGGATGTAGTTATACGTTTTATCACCGATATGTAATTATCACATTAAAAACACAATTTGATATTTAAATGTTTATTATGGATTTAAGTTATTTTGTAGTGTATAATTATACATGTAAATGACATGTTTTCCATTTAAAACACTATACATTTAAATTATTACAATGTATAATTATACATCAACATTAGACACCGTGTATTTAAAGTATGGTTTAGACATTTAGTCAAAGGTCATCTGTTAAGATTATAAATCTCTGATAAGTGATTTGGTGTTATGCAAATACAAACTAGATTATATCCTATTTTCTGACAGATATTTTAATGTCACCAGCCAACATGATGTCATCAATAATTGCGGCTGCTCCTCTTGACTCTATTCTTGTTAATAATTCTACTGTCTCCCCACTACTTTTTTTAAGCATCTTTCCACTGCTTGGAAAAAAATGAAAATGAAACTTATCTTGAC